TGTGGCCAGACACGCTGCCTGTAGGAAGGGGGGTGTGGCCAGACACGCTGCCTGTAGGAAGGGGGGTGTGGCCAGACACGCTGCCTGTAGGAAGGGGGGTGTGGCCAGACACGCTGCCTGTAGGAAGGGGGGTGTGGCCAGACACGCTGCCTGTAGGAAGGGGGGTGTGGCCAGACACGCTGCCTGTAGGAAGGGGGGTGTGGCCAGACACGCTGCCTGTAGGAAGGGGGGTGTGGCCAGACACGCTGCCTGTAGGAAGGGGGGTGTGGCCAGACACGCTGCCTGTAGGAAGGGGGGTGTGGCCAGACACGCTGCCTGTAGGAAGGGGGGTGTGGCCAGACACGCTGCCTGTAGGAAGGGGGGTGTGGCCAGACACGCTGCCTGTAGGAAAGGGGGGGTGTGCCTCCAGACACGCTGATGTAGGAAAGGGGGGGTGTGCCTCCAGACACGCTGATGTAGGAAAGGGGGGGTGTGCCTCCAGACACGCTGATGTAGGAAAGGGGGGGTGTGCCTCCAGACACGCTGATGTAGGAAAGGGGGGGTGTGCCTCCAGACACGCTGATGTAGGAAAGGGGGGGTGTGCTCCAGACACGCTGATGTAGGAAAGGGGGGTGTGTAGGAAAGGGGGGGTGTGCCTCCAGACACGCTGATGTAGGAAAGGGGGGGTGTGCCTCCAGACACGCTGATGTAGGAAAGGGGGGGTGTGCCTCCAGACACGCTGATGTAGGAAAGGGGGGGTGTGCCTCCAGACACGCTGATGTAGGAAAGGGGGGGTGTGCCTCCAGACACGCTGCCTGAAGGAAAGGGGGGGGTGGGCACACTCAGTAGGAGGGGGGGCCGGACACGCTGCCTGTAGGAGGAGGGGGCGCCAGATAAGCTGCCTGTAGGAGGAGGGGGGGCCTGAACACACTGCCTGTAGGGGGAGGGGGTGTGGGCCAACACACTGCCTGTTGGGGGGGGGGCAGATACCCAGAAGAGGGTCCCAACGCACATCCAAAAGCATTGAGAAGAGAAAAAAAAAAGAATTTTTTTTTGAATGAATGTGTGACAGGTCTGGGTGGGCCTGACCTTTGACTCTTAGCTAGATGAAACTCCTATCCAGTGTTTTTTTCCTTTTCTTTAACCCCTTCACGCTGGAGCCTCCCGGCCCTTTAAGGGTTCCAGAAGCTGGGAGGCAGGGCAGGGTTTAGGGTCATGTGACTGCCGTGACGCGCCGTCACATGATCGGGAAAGGTCCCGATCAAAAGAGGAGATCGGGACCTTTCCGTGAGTACCGGACATGTGTGCAGGGCGTGCGCTCTCGGCACATATGTCCTTTTTTAACAGAACGCAAATGTACGGCCGCTCGGCGTCTAGGCCCAGACGCCGGGAGGCCGCACATTTGTGTGCAGCCAGTGTGAAGAGGGTAAACACACACACTATTTTACATACTTACTCTGGTTGAAAAAATATCCAGTCATATGATGTGCATTTAGGAAAGAATGGTTTGTTTTCCACTTTTCTCCTCTAGAAAATGTCTTTTGTATCACTGAATCTTCCTCCATTCAAGAGGAGAAAAAGGAACAGTGACTGACCATTGTGACAGCTAATCAGAGGCCATCACAGAGATCAGGGCCTTTCGGTTCATGTTTCTCAAGACGGGCTCTTGGTGAGCGCAGTCCGTGTGCAGTGCAGCATGCCCTCAGCCCACAGTGGGGCATATACGTGTCCCCGTGAATAAAGACCTACTTCCACGAGGCTGTATACAGTATACATACGTATGCTCGTTGTGAAGAAGGTAATGACTAACTCGACTTTTTGCAGCACACGCATGTAATGCAATGGCACACAAACAAATAAATGCCAACATACACATTGTAAGCAGACTGAATCTTGCTGCCAGGCCTAGTCTATATAAAATAAGGACGATGTTCTATTTCGGCATCTATAAACTGTCTACTTACAGAACAGCGAGGACCCCCAGAGAATGTTCCTGCACATCGAGGGCCCCCAGCACTGTGTCCAGGTGTGAGAGGTTTTTTGCTAGCAGCTCTCCGCTTTTGTTGATCAGCTCACACAGCTGAGTCATTTGCCCTGAAATAAACAGAAATCTTCACTGAGGGATTTACAGATCGCATCAATATTAAATAAATCACATTATCGAGGTGGGACACGAGTAACTGCACACAGCTTCTGCTTTCACTACAAAGCAGAATGTTTCGAAGATCTCCAGAGTGCCTTGAAAAAAAGTCTTCATACCCCTTGAAATTTTGCACATTTTGTCATGTTACAGCCAAAAATGTTAATGTATTTTATTGGGATTTTAATGTGATAGACCAACACGAAATGGCACATAATTGTGAAAAGGAAGGAAAATGATAAATGGTTTTCAACATTTGTTACAAATAAATATCTGAAAAGTGTGGCGTGCAGCCTCCTTTACTCTGATACCCCTAACTAAAATCTAGTGGAACTAATTGCCTTCAGAAGTCACCTAATTAGTAAATAGAGTCCCTCTGTGTGTAATTTAACCTCAGTATAAATATGGCACAACCGCAAACCTACCAAGACATGGCCGTCCACCTAAACTGACAGGCCGGGCAAGGAGAGCATTCATCAGAGAAGTAGCTGAGAGGCCTATGGGAACTCTGGAGGAGCTGCAGAGATCCACAGCTCAGGGGGGAGAATCTGTCCACAGGACAACTATTAGTTGTCACTCCACAAATCTGGCCTTTATGGAAGAGTGACGAGAAGAAAGCCATTGTTGGAAGAAAGCCATAAGAAGTCCTGTTTGCAGTTTGTGAGAAGCCATGTGGGGGGGACAGCAAATATGTGGAAGAAGGGGCTCTGGTCAGAGGAGACCAAAGTTGAACTTTCTGGCCTAAAAGCAAAATGTTATGTGTGGGGGAAAACACTGCGCATCACCCTGAACACACCATCCCCACCGTGAAACATGGTGGTGGCATCATGTTGCGGGATGAATTTCTTCAGCAGGGACAGGGAAGCTGGTCAGAGCTGATGGGAAGATGGATGGAGCCGAATACAGGGCAATCTTAGAAAAAAACCTAAAAGCTAATTTATCTTGCGCTCCTCTATGGAAATCCCTTTCACCACCAATTAAAGCGGAGTTCCACTCACGCTGTCAAAAAATAAAAGTCAGCAGCTACAAGAACTGTAGCTGCTGACTTTTAAAAAACTTACCTGTCCCTCGGTCCCGTGGTGTGTCCCCCGCAGCTCGTTTCACCGGCCATCATCTTCAGTGTGGGCACCCAGCTGTGACAGCTTGCGGCTTCATAGCCGGGTACCCACTGTGCATGCGCGATCTGCACTTCATGCATGGTCCTGTAGTCTTCTGGGACCTGTCACGTGTCCCAAAAGTCTACAGGGAGGGAGGACACCTTCCGCTTCCGATCGCCTAGGCCAGGGGTAGGCAACCTGCGGCTCTCTCTAGCTGTTGTGGAACTACATTTCCCATGAGGCATTGCAACATTACAAAACTGACAGTTACAGCTATGACTTGCAGAGGCATGATGGAACTTGTAGTCCTGCGGCTCTCAGGTTGCCTACCCCTGGAAGCAATCAGACCAGAAGTGGGAGCGGGTACCTGTCAAATTCGGGTACCCGCTCCCCCCCTGCCCCCCAAAGGTGCCAATCCTTAATGGGGAGTGGGGGAGCAGTCCTTAAAGCGGAACTTCCCCTTTTGGGTGGAGCTCCGCTTTAAGTCACAAAACAGTGTGTATTAAATAAACCAAAAACAATAAGTACTGAATAAAATAAATATTAGGTAGACGCTATGCACCCAAACCCCAGGCAGTGTTAAACAGCCAATGATTAGTGCAGCGCTACACAATAGTGCCGAAATTGTATATAAATGACAAAAAAGTGTAAGTCCATAAATCTTCATTATATTGCTTCCATGCTTCTTTCATTAATCGGGGTCCATCACTGGAGGACAGGCGACGTTAGACCAAACATATCAACACCTGTATGGTTTGGAAAACTTTGTGGTTAACCCCTTCACGAAAATAAATGATAATTAACCGCGCTCTAATATTACCGTGCCGATGCTATATACTTATAAAATACCACTAATTAATATATACTGTAACAATATCAACTTATCAACTGCATTACCAAAATTAATCAAATTATATTACAACAGTGTTTGGAAAAAAATATAAAAATAAAAAATGTGTGATTAAATCCAATAGTGATAATTTTACAATATAAATCTCTCATTAAAAATAAATTCATGAAGTTCACTGTGCAAATGTGTAAAACAAAAAATTATAAATATCTCATTAGAAATAAATTCATAAAGTCCAATGTGCAAAATAAAAAACTAATTAAATATTTATATATATATATATATATATATATATATATATATATATATATATATATATATATATAAAGAAAATTGAATTTTTTTTTTAAATATATATAAATTTATAAAGTTCAACAGCAAAAATGTGCAAAAAAGGAAAATGTGCAAAAAAGTTTTTTTTGAAGTTCAGCAGGGAGAAGATGCTGGTAATATACTCTCCTTTCAAGCTGCTTATGGTGGTGTGGATGGAAACCTACGGATTGTCTTCTGAGCCTATACAGGCATAAGGATTTCTCCCTCCTGGAGCCTCTCCTCACTCCAATGCTCAATGTATTCTCATATGACCCATAGGAGAAAAGAATAAAAGATATAGTGCCTTACCCAAGGTATATATAAACACTCTTTAATGTGCTCCCATATTGCACTCACATTGTTTCAACAATAAGCACGCATGTATTGTAATTTAAGCCGCAGAGTGCGGTAATGATCAGCCTCGTAGGAGTGTTAACACACTGTCAGTACTCGCCGTAATGATCCGATACGTGGTGACGTCACTACCCCTCCCCTTCACGCCTAACGGTAAAACAAATCTTAATGCCTAAGCACAATTTTGCAACTTTGACATGTTAGTAAAACCGTCCATATCATCACAACTACTTTGTACATCCGGGTGAATCATACCGCGTGTTTTTCAGGACAAATTGGGCTTTCATTTGGTGGTGAATGGGAATGGATATCTCCTGATTTTTTTTTTTTTTTTTTATCAGAGAAAAATTGGCCCAAAATAGTAAAAAAAAAACAACTTTTTTTTTTTTATTTAGCTGTGTGTTTCTGATTATGACCATAACCTACCACCAAAGAACAACCCAAAATAAATTCTTCAGCTCTCGACGATCGCAGCGATACCATATATGTGTATGTTATTTGTTGTTTGTACCCGGAGTACCGCCCAGAAACAATAGTACGCATTTTGTGTTTTGTTTTCTTTACCTGCACTAACATACAATTCTGAGGACCTCAGAATTGTCCTCAGAATTGTATGATAGTACAAATAAAAAAAAAAAAAAAATATCACGGACAGTACTGAATTGTTTCTGTTGCAAATGCATTAATACGGCTACAATCACCTCAAGTTCTCTTTACCTAAAACATACTGACACAAGAAAAAAATAAAAAAAATATCCTGACCTTTGACCCAAACCCTGGTACTGAACTAGATCAAACCTTGATCTTGGTTTTTCTTTTTTTTTTTTTTAATGTGTTTTGTTTTTTTTTTCCCTCTATGCAAGGAAGGCAAGAGATACATTGCATCTCTCTCTCCTCCATTCAGAGAAAAATGGACCGCGACATACGGTGATGTTGCAAGGGAACAGAGCCATCGGCCAGCGGTAAAAGTAAAACTTCTGGTCGGCAAATAGTTCTTGAGATCTGCTTGCCCCCCTTTACCGTGAAGCCTTAGGCTCCATTCACAGTTGTGCGACTCCAAAGTCGTGCGATTTCCATCACAACCCTGATACTAGGAGGCATGCACGGTGACGCAGTGTGATGTCTGGTGAGGTTTGTTAGTGATTAACCCCTTCGCGCCGGCGCCTCCCGGCCCTTTGAGGAATTTCTGACGCTGGGGGGTGGGGCTTAGGGTCATGTGATCGCTGTGATTGGCTGTCACACGATCGGAAAGGTCCCGATTGCAAGAGATTGGGACCTTTCCGTGCGATGCTGAAATGTGTTGGGAGCACGCAGAGCGTGTGGTACACAAATACGCAGCCCAGCCCTTGAAAGGACGCATATTTCGTACGCTCGGCGTGAAGAGGTTAATTACGAAGCACCTCCATCTTGAAAAGTACATGCGTGAGATTTCCTTGAGGCACTGGTGTAGTGGAGTTCCCAGGGTGCACCTGTGGGGTCCTCAGTATGTCACACCAGCGCCTCCGGAAACTGGAGACCAAATGTAACCGAAAAGGTTATTCACCGCTTCCCGTCCACCCTATAGCAGAAGTACAGCTACAGGGCGGCACGGGTGCGCAAAATCACCTATATATACGGGATTTTGCAGTTCCGGGTAGATGGTGCGCGCTATAAACAAAAAAAAAAAAGACAGTTTTGAGGAAAAAAAAAAAAAAACTATATTTGACTTTTTTTTTTTTTTTTATTTTTGTAAAAAAATTTTAAAAAATAAAATTTCTTCATAAATTTAGGCCAAAATGTATTCTGTGACGTCTTTGCTAAAAAAAAAAAAAAATCCCGATAGGTGTAAATTAATTGGTTTACGTGAAAGTTATAGCGTTTACAAATGGCGGTATAGATACTGGGATTTTAAAAAAAAAAAAATGGAATACTAGCAATGGTGGCAATCAGCAGATTATTGCAGGACTGCGGCGGGCATTCTGACACTGGGAGGGAACTGACTTGGTGTCACTGACATCCCCAGTGACACCAATACAGTGATCAATGCTAATAAAAAGCACTGACACTGTACTAATGGCACTGGGCAGGAAGGGGTAAACATGAGGGGCGATCAAAGGGTGAACTGTGTGCGTTTTACTGAGTGCTTTCCACAATAAGCACACTACTATGCAGAGCCATACAAAGCAGTGTGTTGGAGCTGACGGGAGAGATCTGTATTTACATACGTGTCTCTCCCTCGTCAGTGATACTCTGCGATCGCCAGCTGAGGCGGCCAATGGCGGTGCGCACATACATACAGACACAGCATCTCCCAGAAACGAGTCCCCCCCCTCACGTTTGTAAATATTTGATTCTCTCTTTTCATGTGACAACACTGAAGAAATGACACTTTGCTACAATGTGACGTAGTCAGTGTACAGCTTGTATAACATGGAAATTTGCTGTCCCCTCAAAATAACTCAACACATCACCATTAATGTCTAAACCGCTGGCAACAAAAGTGAGTCCACCCCTAAGTGACAAGGTCCAAATTGGGCCCAAAGTGTCAATATTTTGTGTGGTCACCATTATTTTCTAGCACTGCTTTCACCCTCTTGGGCATGGAGTTCACCAGAGCGTCACAGGTTGCCACTCCTCCATGACGTCATCATGTAGCTGGTGGATGTTAGAGGCCTTGCGCTCCTCCATCTTCCGTTTGAGGATGCCCCACAGATGGTCAATAGGGTTCAGGTCTGGAGACATGCTTGGCCAGTCCATCACCTTCCCCCTCAGCTTCTTTACCAAGGCAGTGGTGGTCTTGGAGGTGTGTTTGGGGTCGTTATGTTGGAATACTGCCCTGCGGCCCAGTCTCTGAAGGGAGGGGATCATCTTCTGCTTCAGTATGTCACAGTACATGTTGGCATTCATGGTTCCCTCAATGAACTGTAGCCCCCCAGTGCCGGCAGCTCTCATGCAGCCCCAGACCATGACACTCCCACCACCATGGGGGCCCCAGACCATGGCACTCCCACCACCATGGGGCCCCAGACCATGGCACTCCCACCACCATGGGGCCCCAGACCATGGCACTCCCACCACCATGGGGCCCCAGACCATGGCACTCCCACCACCATGGGGCCCCAGACCATGGCACTCCCACCACCATGGGGCCCCAGACCATGGCACTCCCACCACCATGGGGCCCCAGACCATGACACTCCCACCCACCATGGGGCCCCAGACCATGACACTCCCACCACCATGGGGCCCCCAATGAGGGCACAGACCATGACACTCCCACCACCATGGGGCCCCAGACCATGACACTCCCACCACCATGCTTGTCTGTAGGCAACACACACTTGTCTTTGTACTCCTCACCTGGTTGCCCCCACACACGCCTGACACCATCTGAACCCAATCAGTTGATGTTGGTGTCATCAGACCACAGGAGACGGTTCCAGTAATCCATGTCCTTAGTCTGCTTGTCTTCAGCAAACTGTTTGCGGCTTTCTTGGTCATCATCTTTAGAAGAGGCTTCCTTCTGGGACGACAGCCATGCAGACCAATGTGATGCGGTGTGCGGTGTATGGTCTGAGCCCTGACAGGCTGACCCCCCCCCCCCCCTTCACCCTCTGCAGCAATGCTGGCACCACTGACAGGCTGACCCCCCCCCCCCTTCACCCTCTGCAGCAATGCTGGCACCACTGACAGGCTGACCCCCCCCCCCCCTTCACCCTCTGCAGCAATGCTGACACCACTGACAGGCTGACCCCCCCCTTAACCCTCTGCAGCAATGCTGGCACCACTGACAGGCTGACCCCCCCCTTCACCCTCTGCAGCAATGCTGGCACCACTGACAGGCTGACCCCCACCCCCACCCCTTCACCCTCTGCAGCAATGCTGGCAGCACTCATACGTCTATTTCCCAAAGACAACCTCTGGATATGACGCTGAGCACGTGGACTCAACCTCTGTGGTGGACCATGGCGAGGCCTGTCCTGAGGGGAACCTGTCCTGTTACACCGCTGTATGGTCTTGGCCACCGTGCTGCAGATCAGTTTCAGGGTCTCGGCAATCTTCTTATAGCCTCGGCCATCTTTATGTAGAGCGACAATTCTTTTTTTCATATTCTCAGAGAGTTCTTTGCCATGAGGTGCCATGCTGAACTTCCAGTGACCAATATGAGTGAGAGCGATAACACCAAATGTACCCCCCCCCCGCTCCCCATTCACACCTGAGACCTTGTAAAACCAACGAGTCACATGACACCGGGGAGGGACAATGGCTGATTGGGCCCAATTTGGACCTTGTCACTTAGGGGGGGGGGGGGGGGGGGGGGGAGTCACTTTTGTTGCCAGCGGTTTAGACATTAATGGGGGTGTGTTGAGTTATTTTGAGGGGACAGCAAATCTCCATGTTATACAAGCTGTACACTGACTACGTCTCATTGTAGCAAAGTGCGAAGAAGTCTTCTGTTCTCTCTGTACTGCTTCCTTTGTGTGAAATCCCCGGTGATCCTGCCAGTCGTCCTCTGCTTTCCTATTAAAAAACTGACCACACTATATATGAGAGCACAGTGTGGTCAGTTCTCTAGTTGTGCTGGGAACTCAGCCTGCTCCCCTCCAATGATCAGACTTGTTCTAACAAACCTTCCCCCACCCTGCACAGCCATTCACTGGGAAGATCAGTGTGCTCCTGCTGCTCCTCCCCCAGCTCCCTGAGCTCTTTGGAAAAAGTATTTATAATGTATTTTATATCTATTCACAAATGTTTTACTTTTCATTTCTATTTTAAATGGAATGGGTTGTGTTATAAGGTGAGGGGTCACAAATACTCCGAATGAGGTCCATGAAGGTTTGGATGGACAGGCCGTAGTGCTGCACACACCAGGAAGTGCTCTGCGGGGGGAGGGGGGGTGAGATCTGCCCATACATTGTACAATTTTCTTATTCAATTTCCTTTAGATTTACCTTCAACTATACAGTGCGAGGGCCGGCCTGACTGCGTACACATTGGAAGCGCTCAGATACGCCCTCAGATTATGTGCTTCTGGTAAATCTAAAGGAAAATTGTACAATGAAATGGTGTCGTGTGTGGGCAGCCCAACCGTCCGATCTGAGGGTTTAATGAGAAAATAAGAGGGCCCAGAGTACAAAACGGAGACTTCTGTATGACGAGGTCATCGCTGAGTCAGATCCAGGAGGGGGCGCCACACAGGGGGAGAGACACAGGAGATCAACACTACTGTGAGGGCAACCCCCACACACACACTGATCCCTACAGAGTGCAACCTGCTTCTCCTCCTACCGATCCCTACAGAGTGCAACCTGCTTCTCCTCCTACCGATCCCTACAGAGTGCAACCTGCTTCTCCTCCTACCGATCCCTACAGAGTGCAACCTGCTTCTCCTCCTACCGATCCCTACAGAGTGCAACCTGCTTCTCCTCCTACCGATCCCTACAGAGTGCAACCTGCTTCTCCTCCTACCGATCCCTACAGAGTGCAACCTGCTTCTCCTCCTACCGATCCCTACAGAGTGCAACCTGCTTCTCCTCCTACCGATCCCTACATTGTGCAACCTGCTTCTCCTCCTACCGATCCCTACATTGTGCAACCTACTTCTCCTACCGATCCCTACAGTGTGCAACCTACTTCTCCTCCTCCTACTGATCCCTACAGTGTGCAACCTACTTCTCCTCCTCCTACTGATCCCTACAGTGTGCAACCTACTTCTCCTCCTCCTACTGATCCCTACAGTGTGCAACCTACTTCTCCTACCAATCCCTACAGAGTGCAACCTGCTTCTCCTCCTACCGATCCCTACAGAGTGCAACCTGCTTCTCCTCCTACCGATCCCTACAGAGTGCAACCTGCTTCTCCTCCTACCGATCCCTACAGAGTGCAACCTGCTTCTCCTCCTACCGATCCCTACAGAGTGCAACCTGCTTCTCTCCTCCTACCGATCCCTACAGAGTGCAACCTGCTTCTCCTCCTACCGATCCCTACAGAGTGCAACCTGCTTCTCCTCCTATTGATCCCTACAGAGTGCAACCTGCTTCTCCTCCTATTGATCCCTACAGAGTGCAACCTGCTTCTCCTCCTCCTGATCCCTACAGTGTGCAACCTACTTCTCCTCCTCCTACTGATCCCTACAGTGTGCAACCTACTTCTCCTCCTCCTACTGATCCCTACAGTGTGCAACCTACTTCTCCTACCAATCCCTACAGAGTGCAACCTGCTTCTCCTCCTACCGATCCTACAGAGTGCAACCTGCTTCTCCTCCTACCGATCCCTACAGAGTGCAACCTGCTTCTCCTCCTACCGATCCCTACAGAGTGCAACCTGCTTCTCCTCCTACCGATCCCTACAGAGTGCAACCTGCTTCTCCTCCTACCGATCCCTACAGAGTGCAACCTGCTTCTCCTCCTACCGATCCCTACAGAGTGCAACCTGCTTCTCCTCCTACCGATCCCTACAGAGTGCAACCTGCTTCTCCTCCTATTGATCCCTACAGAGTGCAACCTGCTTCTCCTCCTATTGATCCCTACAGAGTGCAACCTGCTTCTCCTCCTCCTGATCCCTACAGTGTGCAACCTACTTCTCCTCCTCCTCCTCCTCCTGATCCCTACAGTGTGCAACCTGCTTCTCCTCCTCCTACCGATCTCTACAGTGTGCAACCTGTGTACCAGTGAGGCACGGTAGGAGTGCAGGCCAGGCAAGAGGCACAGAGTACAGCCAGGAATGAGGCACAGCGTACACTCCGGCAGGGATGAGGTACACCAAGGTAGGCCCCAGGCCGCCCCCGCCCCCCTCCTATCTCTCACCTTGGGAGGAGAGTTGGCGGACGCTGGTGACGAACTGCTCCAGGGCGGAGGCCATGTCCGGGGTGTCCGCCTCCCTCCGCGGTGAGGCCGGTACCGGGGCAGAGCGGAGTGCGGGGCCGAACTCACTCCAACACTCAGCAGCGCCCGGAGCTCGCGAGACTTCCCGGGCCGGGCTCGCGATGACATTCCCGCCACTTCTCGCGGGAACCGCAGAACTTCCTCTTCCTGGAGAGTGACGTTTGGGGGGGGCGGGGCGCAGGTCGGTGGCTATCTGCATTCTGCAGTGGGCGGAGACGGCAGAAGGTATTCAGAGCGACCAATCAGATTGCACCGGGGAGGCACTGAATGGTACAATCATTTAAAGGGACATGCAGTGTAAAAGGGTGACAACTTCCTTCTCTATGACACCGTGTTAGCGAGTATTCAGGCCGGAGACAGCCAGGCAGATTGTATTTTCAGAAGAAGGTCAATATGCTGGCAGCCTCTGTGTGTATAGTACAGTATACAGTATATTGCTGAAAGCATTGGGCCGCCGGCCTTTCTACACACATGAACTTCAATGGCGTCCCAGTCTGACGCTAGGATCACATCTGTGCGGCCGTGCGGGGACAAGAGCCCATTCATTTGAATGGACTCCCATGCCCCGGGACATTCAGGAAAGAAGTCCCGGCACTTCTTTGGAATCGAGGTTCCCGATATGGTTGTGATTTACAGAATTAATGGCACCTGCTGGTGGGTCCCACATTCTCTGTGCGGGTGGTGTGGCTGCAGGTACTTTTGTGCGGGTCTGCAGTGGCACCACCCACACAGATGTGAACCTGGCATTAGTCCGTAGGGTTCAATATTGAGTTGGCCCCGCCCTTTCCACACACATGACCTTTAATGGCCCCCAGTCTTAGTCCGTTTAGGGTTCAATATTGAGTTGGCCCCGCCCTTTCGCAGCTATAACAGCTTCAACTCTTCTGGGAAGGCCGTCCACAAGGTTTAGGAGGGTGTGTCTATGGGAAGGTTGGACCATTCTTCCAGAAGCACATTTGTCAGGTCAGGCACTGATGTCGGGGAGGAGGCCCTGGCTCACAGTCTCCGCTCTAATTCATCCCAAAGGTGTTCTATGGGGTTGAGGTCAGGACTCTGTGCAGGCCAGTCAAGTTCCTCCACCCCAAACTGGCTCCTCCATGTCTTTATGGACCTTGCTTTGTGCACTGGTGTGCAGTCATGGTGGAACAGGAAGGGGCCATCCCCTTAACTCTTCCCACAAAGTTGGGAACATGATATTGTCCAAAATGTCACCTTAAGCGTTCCCTTCACTGGAACTAGGGGGCCAAGCCCAACCCCTGAAAAACAACCCCACACCATAATCCCCCTCCACCTTTACACTTGGCACAATGCAGTCAGGCAAGTACCGTTCTCCTGGCAACCGCCAACCCAGACACGTCCATTGGATTGCCAGACAGAGAAGCGTGATTGGTCACTCCAGAAAACACGTCTCCACCGCTCTAGAGTCCAGTGGCGGCGTGCTTTACACCACTGCATCCGACACTTTGCATTGCAGTTGGATGCAGCTGCTCGGCGATGGAAACCCATTCCATGAAGCTCTCTACGCACTGTTGTTGGGCTCATCTGAAGGCCACACCAAGTTTGGAGGTCTTTAGCTATTGACTCTGCAGACAGTTGGTGACTTCTGCGCACTGTGCGCTTCAGCATGCGCAGACCCCGCCCTGTCATGTGACGTGGCCTACCACTTGGTGGCTGAGTTGCTGTTCCCAGTTGTTTCCACTTTGTTAGATTCCCACTAACAGTTGAGCGTGGAATATTTAGTAGCCAGGAAATGTCACGGATGGACTTATTGCCCAGGTGACCACCTATCACGGGACCACGCTTGGAGTCACTGAGCTCCTGAGAGCGACCCATTCTTTCACCAATGATTGTAGAAGCCGTCTTTCTTTATGTGTCCACATCATTGACTGTGTGATGTGCACATTTCCTCTTGGCTGTCCAATGGCGGGTACTCTCAGGATTCAGAGGAGTGATGTCATCGCAAGGATATTTGGAGTGAGAGACCTTGGGTGAATATACTTTGCTTCACCAGTAAAAAAAAAAAAATTGGGGAAAATTTCAGGTTATGTCCGGAGTTGGGCTTTAACCCCTTCACACTTAAGGGTAAAACAAATCCTAACGCCTAAGCACAATTTTGCAAGTCTGACATGTGTTAGTAAAACCATACAGATCATCACAACTACTTCGTACATCCAGGTGGATTATACCGCGTTTTTTTTTAGGACAAATTGAGCTTTCATTTGGTGGTGAATGGGAATGGATATCCTCTTGTTTTGTTTTTTTTAGCAAAGGAAAAACTGGCCCAAAAATAGTAAAAAAAAGTCATTTTTTAAAGTTAACTGTATATTTCTTGTTACTACCATAAACCCGACCACCAAAGCACAACCCAAAATAAATTCTCCAGCTCCTGAAGATCGCAGCGATACCACATATGTGAATATTATTTGTTGTTTGTACCCGAAGTACAGCCCAGAAACAATAGTGCGCAATTTGCTTTTTTTTTGTCCTACTTTAGCCCGGATTCACACTGATGTGGTGCGGAGTTCACACCGCTTTCTGTGCAATTTCTGCACCGCATCGCAATCGCACCCCGTTCATAGGAACTGCTGCAGGTGTGTATTTTAAGTTGACACGCCGAAATCAGTTTGCAAAATGCAGTGGGATGTGCAAAATCAGATCGCATGGCTGTTCACACCCATGCGATCCTATTCTGGTGAGGACAAAAAAAAGGGTCCTGCAGTGTGATTTGAACCATACGAAATGTACGGCTCAGATTGCACCGCACAGAAATCGCATGTGATTCGCACAGGAACCGTACCGCATTCCAAGCTGAGTCCGGGTTCACACTGATGCAGTGTGGAATTTGCATCGCATCAGAATCGCACCCCTTTCATGCAAACCGATGCGGGGGTGTATGTTAAGTTAACGACACCCAGAAATCGGTCTGCAAAACACGGTGCGATGTGCAGAATCGAATCGCATAGGTGTGAATACCCATGCGATTCGATTCTAGTGCGGACCAAAAAAGGGTCCTGCATCTTTTTGGTGCGGGTGTGGTGCGATTTGAGCCATACAAAATATATGGCTGAAATCGCACCGAACACAAATCGCATGTGATTTGCACAGGAATGTGGTGCAGTTCCTATTTGAATGACATGTGAAGCAGGTTCTGTGCGTATCACATGCGATGTTCCGCACCGCATCAGTGTGAACCCAGGCTTAGTTGAGGTTCACACCTATGCGTTTTCTGTTGCCTTTTTTTTTCAGAAACGCACAGCAGTCCATTTAACAAGATTTCCTATGGGACAGGTTCACATCTTCGGTTTCACCCGGTGCGTATTTTCGGAAAGGGTCAGGGACTTTTTTAAATGCAAAATGTTGCATTTTTGGTTCTATAGACTTCAATGGAGATGCTGCAGAAAAGCATGTAGTGTGTTTTTGATGCATTTTTGACTCGTTTTCATCTGCCCAGCAACAAGTTGGAAAAAAAAAAATGCAAAATGCATCAAAACTGCATCAAAACCGCACCGCAGAAATGGATCAAACGCAAACTGCATAGGTGTGAACCTAGCCTAAATCACACTGATACTAATGGAAGAAAGGAAAAAAAAATCCTGCTCAAAATATACTGACCCTGACCTTTGACCTTGACATGACCCAAACACTAATGCAGGCCATACATGGTTCGAATTCCGAATGATTTTTTGTCCTAAAATCAAAAACGTTGTTCGCTCGGTAATCCGATGGCGCCATCAATGATTTCGAAAATTGGCCGACCGAGTCATAAAGTTCAGCGATATATCCGAATTTCGATTCGCAATAAAATGCACCTCACATGGCTATGCTTAGGTGTGAATGAGGCCTAAAAACTGAAATTTTGCTTAACTTGTAACTTTGGGGCGGGGCTTAACTTGTAGGGTAAGATATATTTCTCCATATTTATTTTTGTTTGTATAAATATATGTATATGTTTATTAACTTTTTATCTATATAATACAGGACACATTTTAAAAAAAATATACCAGAATATTGTGGAAATAGTGCACAAACATCCCATGATGGAGGGGATCCAAGGGTGGAGGGAGGGGGCATTGAAAGCTGCAACAGAGGGGGCGGGGCTTAACTTGTAGGGTAAGATATATTTCCCCATATTTATTTTTGTTTGTATAAATATATGTGTATGATTATTAAATTTGTATCCATATAATACAGGACACATTTAAAAAAATATACCAGAATATTGTGGAAATAATGTACATACATCTCATAATGGAGGGGATTCAAGGATGGGAGGTGGGGAGAGAAAGAGAGAGGGAGAGGGAGATTTTTTTTTGTTGTTGCATTAAAATGTCATTATTATTTTCTTATCTATACAATACAGTACAAATAAAAAAAATAGGATATATCAGAACATTGTGGAAATAATGTACACACATCTCATGATGGAGGGGATCCAAGGGTGGAGGGAGGGGGGCTTTGAAAGCTGCAATAGAGGTGACTATGTATAGTGCAGGGGCGGACTGACCATTCGAGCACTCGGGCACTGCCCAAGGGTCCGGGGGTCAGTAGGGGGCCCCATGAAATGCCCCTGGTACCTTTTTTATAGGCTTTTTTGAGTGTGGGCAAGGACACAGGGGCCCATGATCCCCTATTGCCCGGGGGCCCCAGGAGTTGTCAGTCCGCCCCTGGTATAGTGTCTACAATAAAGAATACATATTATAACCTGTTCTACTGTAAATTACCAAAGGGTTACAAACCAGAAAACGGAAAATGGGTGTCAGGAATGGACTTGCCAATAACGGTGGGACTCACCTGCCTTGTGGGCTGCAGTACCAGGGCTGGCCAGCGGGTGCTCTCAGCAATCAGAGACTCACCCCTGCAGTCAGCCAAAACACCTGAAGCTGATTGCAGGGGTTGTATTTAGGGATGGCCAGACTCACAGTCACAGCCTTGGTGTGTGTTTTTCCCATGGGCCCCTGTATCTTGTAACCTGCATTCCTCTTCCTGTTTCTGCCTGACTTGTTGCCGACCCTGCCTGATCCTGACCTCTGCTGACTTCTCCTGTTTGATCCCTGGCTTGTGACCCTGACCATTCTCTCTGCCTGCTCCTCCTGTACTTACCTGCCCGATAGTTATCGACCCGGCCTGCCTGACTACGCTGTGCTCTATATGTGTATGTACCTGTGTATCTATATCAGTTTAGGTTTGGGTTTGTTTCACCTTGTTGTATGTATTTGTATTAGCTTGGGGTTTGGTGCACTGCGTTTATGTTTGTATTGTTAGTCTCAATAAATTATATTATTTACTATATCTGAAGCCTACGTTTCCCTGTGTCAGTCCACACACTTCTGGTCACACCTGCATCCCTGACAATGGGACATTTAGGGTACCATTACACACATATAAAAGCTGTTACAAAAGAAACCCTCATACAAATGTTACATGCATCTTTAAAACAGTGATAATGGACACTTAAAGAATAGTATACTTGTTCAAAGGTGGGCTCCGGGTGCCACCACAGAACTTCACTTATCCACAGTCGGCAGATAAAAAGTTTTATCTGTCATTTGTGGTTTCGACGCACTTCATTCTTTCGCTTCATCAGGAAGCCACAAAGTTTATTAGAACACTGCACACACACAAAAAAAAGAACAGAATTAAAAAATCACATACAATATATATGTAAAGTGCTGCGTAAATTGACGGCACTATATAAGTACCTGAAATAAAAAAAAAAAAAAACAGAACAGTATACAAACGGACCGCCTGCAGGACCGGTGGTGTGATGACATCAGCACTAGCTCCCTATGCGTTTTGTCATAGGAGAAGTTTTTCAGCTAATCCCCTTGAATACGTCTCCTATGACGAAACACGTGGGGGGGGAGTTTATGGCAGATTAAGATTTAAAGGCACAGCACAATATATGTTGGAGAATCAATCATAACAGAACTTCACTTATCCACAGTCGGCAGATAAAAAGATTTATCTGTCATTTGTGGTTTCGACGCGCTTCATTCTTTCACTTCATCAGGAAGCCACAAAGTTTATTAGAACGCTGCACACAAAAAAAAAGAACAGAATTAAAAATCACACTATATATTTTTTGTTGTTAGCATCCATATTATCACCAATATTTTGTGTGTGCCATAGTAAGAGGGGAGGAGAAAGGCCTACCAAGGCCGCCTATCCTTATGTACACCTCTGGAAGTCCCGGGAACCCCAAGGGAAAAAAGCCCCTCCGGACGGGACACCCCAACCAAACCCAGAGGAGCAAGCAGTGGACTGCAAGGGTAGATAAGGAAGTACACTCACCAGCCACTTTATAAGGTGCACCTTGCTAGTGCCAAGAAAATCTCCTCCATGCCATGACACCATAACACCACCAGCCTGAACCGTTGATAAAAGGCAGGATGGATCCATGCTTTCATGTTTGTTGGGTTATTTGAGTTACTGTTGCCTTTCTATCATCTGAAACCAGTCTGGCCATTCTCCTCTGACATCAACAAGGCATTTTCATCCACACAAATGCTGCTGTCAGGGATCACGGCCCATGGAGCCGCGATCGCGGCTCCGTCCCTCGCGCATGCGCGGTGGCGGCAGATCGCGCCGGGACACAGGCACCAGGGGCCCGGCGAGCCGCGGCTGACAGGACGCCGCGCATGCGCAGCAGTAGGAGCCGCGGGCGCGCCTCAGGCGTCCAATGACAGCCGGGGGCGCGTCCTAGCCGGCCAATGACAGTGCAGGGCGCACTATTTAAAGATGCCCTGCACTGTCACAAGTTGCCGCAAGGTCTTCCTGTGATCCTGAAGTTCCTGTACCTGCCTGAGACCCTGATTGACCCTGACTATTCTGCCTGCCCCTGCGTTTTGACCTGGATTGACCCTGACTATTCTGCCTGCTCCTGCGTTTGACCCGGATTGCCCTGACCATTCTACGGATTGATACCCCCTGCTGACCCTGCGTGTGACCCGACTACTCTTGGCCTACCGATCCTGTACCCCGCTTGCCTCACGGGCTCACGATCAGTTGTTACCCTGCTAGGGCCGTTAGCCACTTCACATCTGGCTCTCCCGGTACCTGTCCCCAAAGGTCTCCTCGGCCGCTGGGGGGCCTGCTCGGAGGTCGTGACCTGGCCCGGGACTGTTTTAAGTCCATCCCCACCATCAGGGGCCCTGGTGAAAGCACAGCCCGGGCTTAGACCCCACGCTCTGAGTAGGTCCGCCAGTTGGCAGCCTGAGGCACCACCGGCGGATCATAACAGCTGCTCTCTGGATATTTTCCCCTTTTCGGACCATTCTCTGTAAATCCTAGAGATGGTTGTGTGTGAAAATCCCAGTAGATCAGCAGTAAATACTCAGACCAGCCTGTCTGGCACCAACAACCATGCCACGTTCAAAGTCACTTAAATCCCCTTTCTTCCCTATTCTGGTGCTCGGTTTGAACTTCAGCAGGTCGTCTTCACCACATCTACATGCCTAAATGCATTGAGTTGTGCCATGTGATTGGCTGATTAGTAATTTGAGTTCCCGAAAACTGAAAAGGTGTACCTTATAAAGAGGCCAGTGAGTGTATACAGTAATTGCCAGGGTTTTTTTATCAAAAAATAGGTGCAAGAACTCCCCCCTTCTGAGTCACTTTATGTTTCCGTCCCCCTACCCACCCACCTCCCAGTACGGCTCCTTTTAGAGAATACATATAAACTCCCCCCAACGTGTTTTGTCATAGGAGACGTATTCAAGGGATTAGCTGATTAGGGAGCTAGTGCTGATGTCATCACACCACCGGTCCTGCAGGCGGTCCGTTTGTATACTGTTCTGTTATTTTTTTTTTTATGTCAGGTACTTGTATACTGTATGTATATGTTTATATATCTCCAGTATATATGTATATGTTTATATATCTCCAGTATATATGTATATGTTCGTATATCTCCAAAATATACTGTATGTATATGTTTATATATCTCCATAATATATATTTATATGTTCGTATATCTCCAGTATATATGTATATGTTTATATATCTCCAGTTTATATGTATATGTTTATATATCTCCAGTATATATGTATATGTTTATATATCTCCAGTATATATATGTATATGTTCATATATCTCAAGTATATATGTATTTATATGTTCGTATATCTCCAGTATATATGTATATGTTTGTATATCTCCAGTATATATGTATATGTTTATATATCTCCAGTTTATATGTATATGTTTATATATCTCCAGTATATATATGTATATGTTCATATATCTCAAGTATATATGTATTTATATGTTCGTATATCTCCAGTATATATGTATATGTTCGTATATCTCAAGTATATATGTATATGTTTGTATATCTCCAGTATATATGTATATTATTATACAATATTTATAAAGCGCCAATAGTTCGCTCAGCGCTGTACATTACAAAGGGGGACAGAACATGTGACAGAACAATACCAATACAATGCAAAACATGAGGGGATTGAGGGCCCTGCTCCTTGGAGCTTACAATCTAGGAGGGAGGGGATAGTGATACAGGAGGAGATAGCTGTGGGGGATGGAGTGGTAGGAAGAGTGGAGGAGGTCGGCAAGTTAGCAGGGGGTGGGGTAGGCTTCCCTGATGAGATGGGTTTTCAGGGTGCGCCTAAAGGAGAGGAGGGTAGGTGATAATCTGATGGGTTGGGGCAGGGAGTTCCAGAGGATGGGTGACACCCTGGAAAAGTCCTGGAGGCGGGCATGGGAAGAGGAGACCAGGGAACTAGAGAGAAGGAGGTCTTGTGAGGAGCAGAGTGTGCGTGCTGGGCAGTACTTGGATATTAGGTCAGTGATGTAGTTCGGGGCAGTATGGTGGACAGCTATGTATATGTTCGTATATCTCCAGTATATATGTATATGTTCGTATATCTCCAGTATATATGTATATGTTTGTATATCTCCAGTATCTATGTATATGTTCGTATATATCTCCAGTGTATATGTATATGTTCATATATCTCCAGTGTATATGTATATACCTATATGTGCTGCATAAATTGATGGCGCTATACGAGTACCTTTAGTTATATATATATATATATATATATATATATATGTAAAATATATTTTTTTAATATATGTATAATATATACTATATATATATATAGTTATATATATTATGTATTATATATTCTTATATTTGTATATATTATTGTGTTCCATTATAATTGTTTTTAAAGTTGCATATAACATTTGTATGAGTTTTTATTTTTTGCAATCGCATTTATTGTAATGATCTGTATGTGTTTAATGACACCTTAGAAGTCCCATTTTCCTTCTCCTGGTTTGTATCCCTTTGATAAGAATCGGGGACGTGGTGCCGAGGTCTGGCTCTCCCTCCACACATTAAACCTCCATGACTACTGTAAAATATGACCTGGGCTTGTCTACAGTCAAGGTTGGAAGGAGTTAATCTTTTACCATCCTGCCTCCCCTGGTGAGTTGCTATGCTAGCAGCCCAGTAACAGAATAGAAGGGGAATGTCCCTTTAAGAAGAGGAGGCAGCTTGTCCTTACAAGGTAATGGCGGTGCAGCAGGACAGGAACTGCTGAGCCCTGGCTGCAATCTGCTGCCTGTGACTGCACTGCAGAGCCCTCCCTGGGAATGTAGGACACAGGGGGGGACATGACAGTCAAGTTATATAACGCTGCAAGAAAGCACGCCGAGCCCTTCCATTCTGCTGCAACCATAGGACGGCCAGCTGCTGCATCCTGCTGCAATCACAGGGTACGCTCCAAGCGGGCACACTGTTGCTGCAGCATCTGCAACTGACAGCTGTGCACCGCCGACCGCCTGCCTGTGACCATTCAGGACCGTCCTCGGTGACTTTTAGATCATGTAGCCTGAAACCCGCCAGGATGACTTGTTTACACTTCTTTTTTGGCAGAACGGATTTGCGCTTTTTCACGGAACGTGTCGCCAGCCAAAGAGGGAATCCCTTCAGGGAATGAATGGTGACCTTGTTTGTGAACGCGCTGCACATGCGTGATGTCTAGGGGTCCTCCTGGGAAGCTTTGCTGAACATGATTCTTAGATCAAGTCCCTCTTGGTTATCTAGCGGAAGATCCGGAGCTCTATGAACGAAGAGGTCAGTTCCGTAGAATGCGCACCTAGTTCCCCCGACGCCATGTACCTGCCCAAGCTGCTCCGCGGGGGAGGGGCTCTGTCTGCCGGCCTGCGAGGTTTCAGGACGCGCCCTTCGGCTGCTCCGCACGGGAGGTGCCTGCGCGTGCTGGTCGACATGGATGGTGTGTTGGCTGACTTTGAAGGTGGCTTCTTAAAAAAGTATAGAACTCGATACCCCCAGGAGCCCTACATCGAGTTGGAGGAACGCCGAGGATTCTGGGTGTCTGAGCAGTATGAACATCTAAAACCCGGACTTAGCGTAAGTCACTTTGTACATGAGGTACTCATATCTATCTATCTATCTATCTATCTATCTATCTATCTATCTATCTATCTATCTATCTATCTATCTATCTATTATCTATCTATCATCTATCTATCTATCTATCTATTATCTATCTATCTATTATCTATCTATCTATTATCTATCTATCATCTATCTATCTATCTATCTATCTATTTATCTATCTATTATCTATTATCTATCTATCTATCTATCTATTCATATCTATCTATTCATATCTATCTATCTATCTATCTATCTATCTATCTATCATCTATCCATCCATCCATCCATCTATCTATCTATCTATGTTTATCTTTCACTTGTATGAATACAATAAAGAGATCTGATCTAAAGCATTGGTGTTAGGCTGGCCATACATTATACAATTTTCTTGTACAATTTTCCTTTAGATTTACTAAAACCATATAATCTGAGGTTATACCAGCACAGTGGATAAATGGCTATCACTTCCACCTGGCAGTACTAGGGTCATTGGTTCAAATCCCAACCACAGCACCACCTGCCTGGAGTTTGCATGTTCTCCCTTTGCCTGCGTGGGTTTCCTCCAGTTACTCCAGTTTCCTCCCACACTCCAAAGACATGCTGGTAGGTGAATTGGATCCTGTCTAAATTGTCCCTAGTATGTGTGTGTATGAATGTGAGTTAGGGACCTTAGATTGTACGCCCCTTGAGGGTTAGGGACTGATGTGAATGTACAATATATACATGGGCAGCACAGTGGCTAAGTGGTTAGCACTTCTGTCTGGCAGTACTGGGGTCGTTGGTTCAAATCCCAACCACGGCACCTCCTGCCTGGAGTTTGCATGTTCTCCCTGTGCCTGCGTGGGTTTTCTCTGGGTACTCCGGTTTCCTCCAACACTCCAAAGACATGCTGGTAGGTTAATTGGATCCTGTCTAAATTGGCCCTGGTATGTGTATGTATGAATGTGAGTTAGGGACCTTAGATTGTACACCCCTTGAGGGTTAGGGACCTTAGATTGTACGCCCCTTGAGGGTTAGGGACTGATGTGAATGTATAATATATATGTAAAGTGCTGCGTACATTGATGGCACTATATAAGTACCTGAAATAATAAGTGGGCAGCACAGCAGTTAAATGGTTAGCACTTCCGCCTGGCAGTACTAGGGTTGGTTCAAATCGCAACCACGGCACCACCTGCCTGGAGTTTTCATGTTCTCCCTGTGCCTGTGTGGGTTTCCTCTAGGTGTTCCAGTTTCCTCCCACACTCCAAAGACATGCTGGTAGTTTATTTGGCCCCAGTATATGTATGAATGTGCGTTAGGGACCTTAGACTGTATGCTCCTCGGGGGCGGGGACTGATGTGAATGTACAATATATATGTAAAGCACTGCGTAAATTGACGGCGTTATAGAAGTACCTGAAATAAATAAATATCTAAGCACTTTCAATCTGTATGCAATCCGGCCGGGCCCTTGCTCTGCATAGTTGAAGATAAATCTAAAGGAAATTGAATAAGAAAATTGTGTAATGTATGGGCAGCTTTTAGGTCCAGTTCACACTCCATGCATTTCTGTTGTTTTTTTTCTGCATCCAAAATGCACAGAAAGTGTTACATGGTTGTCAATGTCATAGTTCACATCAGTACTTGCAGTGCGTTCCGAATGCAGAAAAAAAAGTAGGACTTGCTGCATTTTTCGAGAACTGTACTGGAACACAGTAAAACGCACTGAAACGCACCAAAAAACGCACTGGAACGCACCAAAAAACACACTGGAACGCACCAAAAAACACACTGGAACACACCAAAAAAACACACTGGAACGCACATGTCTCTATAATTTGAAGAAAAAGAGGAGGGAAAAAATGAACTGGAACACATCAAAAAAGCACTGAAATGCACATGTCCCTATAAAATTGAAGAAAAAGAGAGGGGGGGGGGGGGGAAATGAACTGGAACACATAAAAAACGCACCAGAACACTCCAAAAACGCACATGTAGAAATGCATCTGGAACGCATCTGGACTGCGTTTCTATAGCGTGAACCGGCCCTTAAGCTAGGTCCAGACCTTTGCATGTGAGGACCGTGCGCAAAATCATGTGCTTTCTTGACAAGCAGAGAAACGCGTTGTCCTGTAGCAGAAGCACGGCGGTGCCCGTAATAGTTCATTGCACCCCCCATGCATCTACAAATGTGTGCGAGTCAGGGACTTTTTTTTTTTGGTGTTTCTTGCGCGTAGGGCAGCCTATTGAAATGAATGGGCTGACGAATCAGTGATGCTTGGAAATGCACTGAAAACGGAAATGCGTACGCTCGGTCGCACTTGTATAGATGTGAACCAAGCCTTATATTTGATAGGAACTAAATGTAAACCCAATCACTGAGAACCTGTTCACACCATGTATTTGTGATCGCATGCGTTATCGCGATGCCTGTTATTGCAGCGTGCGGCGACGCACATTAAATGCGTTGGTGTGAAATGCTGTCATCTATTCTGAATGGCAGCTCAATGCACTTGTTGAGGGATGCGCTTTGCAGATCAGTGCAATGCGTTAATGTGCAATTCAGAGTGCTCCCAGAAAATGGCGCATACACGCGTGACCGCAAATAGATCTAGTGGCTGGACCCTATAATCTCCTGTACGTGAAAATAATTTCAATAAATTGTTTTTAATTTTTTCAATCTGCATATTGCAGTAAAATAATTCTTGGGGATCCTGCCATAAAGATCTTTGTTCAGGCACTTCCTGTTTTAGGGTGACAACCGTCCTCTAAATTGCATCTCCCACGTTGTCACTTTCTCTTATTGCACCAAAGCAGACCTTAACTCCCGGTTCACATATATGCGGACTCCCGTGACACGCAGAGAAGTCCCTGCACTTCTTCTGAAAACACAGCCCGCACAGGAACCTCGGTTCCCAGTACGGTTGCGTTTTCCAGTACGGGCGACGTGCCGTTAGAACTGATGACAGCCGCCTGCGGGTCCACATTTCTCTGTGTGGGTGGTGCGGCTGCATGGATTTTCCTGCGGATTCCGCAGCGGCACCACCCGCACAGATGTGAACCAGAGCTAACACCTGTCAGTTTTGTTTTTTTTTAGATTTTGGATAGAGCGGGGGTGCTGACATTTCCATTCTCTATTAGGTAGATATACCTCACTTCCTGTAATTGTGACACTCCTATTATAGAATAGAATAGACTTGTAGGGCAGTTGTCACCAGGACAGAAAAGCACCAACAGCAGTAAAACCTTCCCAGCAAAAGAAAAAAAAAAAAGTCCAAACCTGTATTGAGAGAAATATGGGGGATGCCAGTGATCTTCTTTAGAAAATGCTAGATGACTGGCTGTTAGGCTAACCCCCGGCTCTAATACTTTCTTAGTATCTGCAGTAAATAGACCAGAGAAATGAGAAGAATCTGTTTTTCTCTTCATACTTCAGGCAACTGGCATTTTCAGAAAGAAAGCTCAACAGCAGCAATCTTCATGTTTTCTATTGGGCCCATTCACACTTGTAAATTGTAGCAACACACATTGACAAAACGCATGGCTAACCTTTAAAAAAACAAAAAAGTCATATACATGCGAGGTGTAGAACTTGTTCACAAGCAGGGGTGGACTGACAACTTATGGGGCCCCCGGCCAATAGGGGATCATGGGGCCCCTGTGTCCTTGCCCAAACTAAAAAAATCCTATGAAAAAGGTACCAGGGGCATCTCATGGGGCCCCCTACTGACCCCGGGCCCTCGGGCAGTGCCCGAGTTCCAAATGGTCAGTCCGCCCCTGTTCACAAGTGTGTCTAACATAGCCGATCCTCTGAAAAGGGATCTGTGGCAGATCGCTTTTAAGAGGGTGTTGAAAGTGCACCACCCTTTATTTTTTCCTGGTGACTACGCCAGTAATACACTTCCTGTTCTAAGGTGACAACGCTCACTGTATCTCTGAAGGAGCGTTGTCTCTCTAGGCCGCCCTGATTTGGACAACAGCACACCTACGTTTTGTTCTAGTACACTGAGTCAGGGCCAGGACAAGGGGTGGGCAGAAGGGATGGCCGCCCTGGGTACTGTGTATCATGGGAGATGGGGGTTCACCACAGGGAGATTGGGGGGAGGGAATTTGTGTTGGGAGGGTAAATTTGGGGCCAGCAGGAGGCAAAATTTGTTCTGGGGGGGATTTTGGGAGGGAGATCGGCGAAGAGGATTTGTGCTAGGAGGGGGAATTAGAGGGGGTTTGTGCTATAACAGTAATATGGTAGAGGGGGGGAGATTTGTGCTAGGAGGGGATTTTTTTTTGGGGGGGGGGATTTGTGCTAGTAGGGATGATTGGGGGGAGGGGGATGTGCTGGGAGGGGGAATTTGTGTGTGTGTGGGGGGAGGCAGTTTTTGCTAGGATGTTGGATTGGGGAGGAGAGTTTCTGCTGGGTGGGGGGTTTGGAGTGGGGGGAAGGATTTGTGCTCAGAGGGGTTATTGAGGGGCAGAGGTTTTGTGCTAGGGGGGGGGGGGGGGGGTTTTGGGGGGGGTTGTGCTAGTAGGGATGATTGAGGGGGATTTTTGCTAGAAGGGGAAAATTTGTGTGGGGGGGGGGGGGATTTGTGCTAGGATGGTGAATTGAGGGAGGAGAATTTGTGCTTGGAGAGAGAAGATGGAGTGGGGGAAGAAGATTTGTGCTCAGAGGGGAAATTTGAGGGGTAGAGGATTTGTGATAGGAGGGAGAACTTTGGTTTTTTTTGATTGGGGGGGTAAATTTGTGCTGAGGGCATATGGGGATGGGGAGAGAGAGATTTGAGCCTGGGGAAATGGTAGAAGGGAGGAGATTTGTGCTAGGAGGGGATTTTTTTTTTTGGGGGGGGGGGGGGGATTTTTGCTAGTGGGGACATGTTCTTCCCGGGCTCTAGATGACCTTGTCCTGGCACTGCACAGAGTTAAACCAGGGGAGATATATATATATACCGGAATTATTCCAGGTACTTATATAGCGCCATCAATGTACACAGCGCTTTACTTATCTATTGTACATTCCCATCAGTCCCTAACCCTCAAGGGGCGTACAATCTAAGGTCCCTAACTCACATTCATACATATACTAGGGACAATTTTATATATATATATGCACACTATGTCGCCAAAAGCATTGGGGCAGCCCTCCAAATCATGTGATTCAGGTGTTCCAATCCCCTCCACGGACACAGGTGTATACAATCAAGCCCCTAGACTGCTTCTACAAACATTGGTGAAAGAATGGGTCGCTCTCAGGAGCTCAGTGGCTCCAAGCGTGGTCCCGTGATAGGTGGTCACCTGGGCAATAAGTCCATCCGTGACATTTCCTGGCTACTAAATATTCCACGCTCAATTGTTAGTGGGATTATAACAAAGTGGAAGCAACTGGGAACAACAGCCACTCAGCCACCAAGTGGTAGGCCACGTCACATGACAGGGCGGGGGGTCAGCGCATGCTGAAGCGCACAGTGCGCAGAAGTCACCAACTGTCTGCAGAGTCAATAGCTAAAGACCTCCAAACTTGGTGTGGCCTTCAGATGAGCCCAACAACAGTGCGTAGAGAGCTTCATGGAATGGGTTTCTATGGCCGAGCAGCTGCATCCAAGCCTTCCATCACCAAGTGCAATGCAAAGCGTTGGATGCCGTGGTGTAAAGCACGCTGCCACTGGACTCTAGAGCAGTGGAGACGTGTTCTCTGGAGTGACCAATCACGCTTCTCTGTCTGGCAATCCGATGGATGTGTCTGGGTTTGGTGGTTGCCAGGAGAACGGTACTTGCCTGACTGCATAATGCCAAGTGTAAAGTTTAGTGGAGGGGGGATTATGGTGTGGGGTTGTTTTTCAGGGGTTGGACTTGGCCCCCTAGTTCCAGTGAAGGGACCTCTTAAGGCGTCAGCATACCAAGACATTTTGGACAATTTCATGCTCCCAACTTTGTGGGAAGAGTTTGGGGATGGCCCCTTCCTGTTCCAACATGACTGCCCACCAGTGCACAAAGCAAGGTCCATAAAGACATGGAGGAGCCAGTTTGGGGTGGAGGAACTTGACTGTCCTGCACAGAGTCCTGACCTCAACCCCATAGAACACCTTTGGGATGAATTAGAGCGGAGACTGCGAGCCAGGCCTCCTCCCCCGACATCAGTGCCTGACCTGACAAATGTGCTTCTGGAAGAATGGTCCAACCTTCCCATAGACACCCTCCTAAACCTTGTGGACGGCCTTCCCAGAAGAGTTGAAGCTGTTATAGCTGCAAAGGGCGGGGCCAACTCAATATTGAACCCTACGGACTAAGACTGGGAGGCCATTAAAGTTCATGTGTGTGGAAAGGCGGGGCCAACTCAATATTGAACCCTACAGACTAAGACTGGGGGGTCATTAAAGGTCATGTGTGTGGAAAGGTCGGGGCCAACTCAATATTGAACCCTACAGACTAAGACTGGAGGGCATTAAAGTTCATGTGCGAGTGAAGGTGAATCTATCAAATAATGATATATTTAGACATTAATTAAATCACCATAAAGTGAAAGTACAATTCATCCTCTTCTTCCCCCGCTCCTCTAACACATTTGTAGCGCTCACCCATGAAGGAGCTGCTGAGTGTATTGGGTCCCCCTATATCCTGCACAGCCAGGAAACACACATTTTTCAACTTCCACACTTAGAGTCAGTAACCAGTCCATGGGCTTGTTTTTGTTGTTTTATTTATTGGATAAACAACTTGGGTTATGGATATATGGGATGCCCAACTTGACTTGTAGTAATAACTCTGAGGCAAATCCTGAACTTTCTACTCCAGGCGGAGTGGCAGAGTCTATTAATGAATCAATAGCACAGTCTTTGTGAGGAGAATCTGGTCCCCTCTAAGTGAATTCTCTTCAGACCCCAGCTAGGAAATGCCCATCCACCTGGCTGTCTTTGGAAGAATATCCTGGAGCAAGAGATTCCATGACAGGCATGCAGGACTGTCTCCAGAACTGGTTACGTATTCCACCTAACAGCCCTCTCTCCTGTAGGCCCCAAGGGTGTAGAAGGGATGCCATTATTATTACTATTATAATACAGGATTTATATTGTGCCAACGGTTTGCTCAGCGCTTTACATTGTAGTGGGAGACAATACAGTTCAATACAAGAGGGATTTGAGGGCCCTGATCCTTGGAGCTTACAATCTAGGTTAAAGTCTGCGTCGGTGTAAAGGCAGGCGGCCCAATACTTTTGGCAATATAGTGTATATATATATATATATATTTTGTTCTATTTAATCTATTAAAAGGGAACAAATAAGAGAAGGTTATTTTTCGGGTTTACTTACAAGTTAAGGTCAGCCTATAATGAGAGAACTATGGGGCTGTCATAGCTGACATGCTGCTACAAATGCTGGTTGCCTGGCTGCTATATTGATCAGGGACGTAACTATGAGTCAAGGGGCCCCATATTAAACTTCTGATGTCAGCTGACAGTACATGCTTCTCGATGACGTCAGGCATAGAGGGGTAATGTCTGTCTGTTGCAGATGCTCAGAGGGCAGTAAATGGACCACTAAGGCGGCTCAACAAATGCTTCTTCCTGCACAGAGGGGGATCTGTGACTGCTGACAATCCCTGAGCTCTTCTATACTAGAAACTTCGCTGTTTAGGTTTTTTTTTTCTTTTATGAACAGCCTCCCTAATGGGGCCCCTTTTCCCACCCCAGGCCCCAAACTGCCAGCTGAGCACAGGCTGCTACGGCTTTTGTTCCTCCGCTCATGGTGACCTTCCCTTCACCCTGTGTTTTTTGTGACCACTTTAAAATTTTGGATTTCCATCACCTTCTGTCCCTTTGGTCACACACACAGCAACAAAAACCATGCTATCAGAAAAAAAAAAAAAAAAAAGCATTTAAACTTTTTCATTTACTTTTTTGCAGGGGAAAGCTATTAGCATCTGGGAATCAAAGAACTTCTTCTTAGAACTGGATCCTATAGATGGCGCCGTGGAGGCAGTAAAAGAAATGGCCAGCTTACCCAAGTAAGTTTACTTTCGATATAAAAGAGAACTCTGCTCAGATCTGCAGTTCCAGATTTAGGTGGGCACTGGCGGCTTCCTTTTGTCACTTGGAGGCTCCGTTGTTGAGCTCTTCCTGCAATCTTTTTCTCACCATGCTTCCACTGACCACCAATGAATGGAGGGGAGGTAATTGTTTACTGCCACTGACCACCAATGAATGGATGGGGAGATAATTGTTTACAGCCACTGACCACCAATGAATGGAGGGGAGGCAACTGTATTCATCCACTGACCAACAATGAATGGAGGGAGGTATTTGTTTACAGCCACTGGCCACCAATGAATTGAGGGGAGGTCATTTTTTACAGCCACTGACCACCAATGAATGGAGGGGAGGTATTTCTTTACAGCCACTGACCACCAATGAATGGGTGGGGAGGTAATTGTTTACAGCCACTGATCACCAATGAATGGAGGGGAGGTAATTTTTACCAGCCACTGACACCAATGAATAGGGTGGGGGAAGAAACTGTTTACTGCCACTGACCACTAATGAATACAGGGGAGGTATTTGTTTACAGCCACTGACCACCAATGAATGGAGGGGAGGTATTTGTTTACAGCCACCGATCACCAATGAATGGAGGGGAGTTAATTGTTTACAGCCACTGACACCAATGAATGGAGGGGAGGTGACTGTTTACAGCCACTGACCACCAATGAATGGATGGGGAGGTAATTGTTTACAGCCACTGACCACCAAAAAATAGGGTGGAGGAGGAAACTGTTCACTGCCACTGGCCACCAATAAATGAAGAGGAGGTAATTGTTTACAGCCACTGACCACAAAGGAATGGAAGAGAGGTAATTGTTTACAGCCATTGACCACCAATGACTGGAGAGGAGGTAATTGGTTACAGCCACTGACCACAAAGGAATGGAAGAGAGGTAATTGTTTACAGCCATTGACCACCAATGACTGGAGAGGAAGTAATTGTTTACAGCCACTGAGCACAAAGGAATGGAGGGGAGGCAATTGTTTACAGCCACTGACCACCAATGAATGGATGGGTTGGTAATTGTTTACATCCACTGACTACCAATGTATAGAGTGTGGGGGAGGAAACTGTTTACTGCCATTGACCATTGAATGTAGGGGGGGTAATTGTTTACAGCCATTGACTATCAATGATTGGGAGCAGGTAAATATTTTACTGCCACTGACCACCAACGAATGAGGGGGGGGGGGGGGGGAAGACTGTATACTGCCACTGATCACCAATGAATAGGGTGGGGAAGGAAATTGTTTATTGTCACTGACCACCAATGAATTGGGTAGGGAAGCATTTTTTTCCTCCCATTGACCACTAAAAATTAGGGTGGGGAGGTAATTGTATACTGCCACTGACCACCAATGATTGAGAGGGAAGGACAGTATACTGCCACTGACCACTAATGATTGAGAGGGAAGGACTGTATACTGCTACTGACCACTAATGATTGAGAGGAAAGGACTGTATACTGCCACTGACCACCAATGATTGAGAGGGAAGGACTGTATACTGCAACTGACCACCAATGATTGCGAGGGAAGGATTGTATACCACCACTGACCACCAATGATTGAGGGGGAAAGGGAAGGACTATATACTGCCAGTGACCACCAATGATTGAGGGGGATGGACTGTATACTTCCACTGACCACCAATGATTGAGGGGGATGGACTGTATACTTCCACTGACCACCAATGATTGAGGAGGAGGGGGAAGGACTGTATGCTGCCACTGACCACCAATGATTGAGGAGGATGGGGAAGGACTGTATGCTGCCACTGACCACCAATGATTGAGGAGGAGGGGGAAGGACTGAATACCGCCACTGACCACCAATGATTGAAGGAGATGAAGAAGGACTTATACTGCCACTGACCACCAATGATTGAGGGCGAAGGACTGTATACTGCTACTGACCACCAATGATTGAGGGCAAAGGATTGTACACTGCCACTGACCACCAATGATTGAAGGGAAAGAAGGAGGACTTATATTGCCACTGACCACCAATGATTGAGGGCGAAGGACTGTATACTGCCACTGACCACCAATGATTGAGCGCAAAGGATTGTACACTGCCACTGATTACCAATGATTGAGGAGGAGGGGAAGGACTATATACTGCCACTGAACACCATTGCATAGGGTGGGGGAGGCAAATGTTTACTGCCACTGACCACCAATGAATGGGTAAGGGGTGGCAGTTTGTTTATTGCTACTGACCACCAATGACTCTCATTGACCATCACCTATTGATGGGGAGGGAGGGTGTCCGCTGCCACTAACCATTAATGAAGCATGCAGTGCACCGTACATCTTCTACACTTTTTCAGGATCTTAGGTTGGGTTGTTTGTTCCTGTGACAATGCTGGAATCACAAAATGGCGTTCAGTGTTGTCACAGGCAGCGCTCTTGAATTCTGGCTCTAAGCGCATGCGACATCTCTGTCTCCACCCTGGCTTCTCATGGCTACAGGGTCTATGGCCATCTTGACTGGCCAGCACGGGAGGATGCAACTCTCACCGCATACACCCGGGAATTAAAGCTGGGCTCTGGGCATAAAAACTCTAAGCGTATTACTTAATAGCCACAAAGATTATAAATCCATTGTGAGTGCACCACATGCCTTTTCAAAGCCAGATATTACCTAGTAAAAGTAGCAGTGACATCATCACTGTACTGTACATAGCCTGTGCAGAGAGCACAGCAATGGGAGGGGTCCAGTAGACCCCACCCATTAGAGGCTGCCTGCAGAAAATTACAGGAGGGACCAGACCAGTCACCCTGCGCAAGGAGAGAGAGCAGCAGTGAGCGGTCTTTGTTACAGGAAGGGAAAGTCTTATACTGGATTCCTGCACAGATCTGGAGGAAATACACAAAGCACACCGAGATTCAAGGAGGAATACACATGAATGGATATAGATAATATTTGCTGATCCTGGAGCTCAGCTGTGATTAGTTCCGGCCAGAACTGAACACTGAACCGTGCCTGTGCAGCTCAGTGTGCAGTGTGAGGAAAGCTGCCTGGAGGACGTAAGATGCCTGTATTGCAGGACAGATATAGCACCGTATTTTTCGCTCCATAAGACGCACTTTTTTTCCCCCCAAAAAAGGGGGGAAATATCAGTGCGTCTTATGGAGCGAATATAAAGCGGCCGGTCCGGTATTTTTGCCGCCATCATGTCAGAATACCGGGGCCGGCCGCTCAGCTGTTCTCTCCTGCAGGGCCTTACCTGTTCCTCGCTCCAGCGCTGCACAGTCTTCCCGCGCTGGCTTCTGTGACAGCCGGGTGCCCACTGCGCATGTGCTGCACTTTGTGAATGATCCGGTGTCTTCTGGGACACATGACAGGTCCCAGAAGGCGCCGGGCCATTCACAAAGCGCAGCGCTTCTCGCACATGCGCAGTGGGCACCCGCCTGTCACAGAAGCCGGCCCGGGAAGAAGAGGGAAGGACAACTCCGCAAAAGTGGGAGCGGGTATCTGTCAAATTCAGGTACCCGCTCCCCTCCCTCCCCAAAGGTCAGCAGTCTCTGGTCATTCTCTTCACTGTCTGCAGTCTCTGGTCATTTTCCCTGCACTGTCTGCAGTCTCTGGTCATTCCCTGCACTGTCTGCAGTCTCTGGTCATTCCCTGCACTGTCTGCAGTCTCTGGTCATTCCCTGCACTGTCCGCAGTCTCTGGTCATTCCCTGCACTGTCCGCAGTCTCTGGTCATCCCCTGCACTGTGTCCGCAGTCTCTGGTCATCTCCTGCACTGTGTCCGCAGTCTCTGGTAATCTCCTGCACTGTGTCCGCAGTCTCTGGTCATCTCCTGTACTATGTCTGCAGTCTCTGGTCATTCCCTGCACTGTCTGCAGTCTCTGGTCATTCCCTGCACTGTCTGCAGTCTCTGGTCATCCCCTGCACTGTGTCCGCAGTCTCTGGTCATCCCCTGCACTGTGTCCGCAGTCTCTGGTCATCCCCTGCACTGTGTCCGCAGTCTCTGGTCATCCCCTGCACTGTGTCCGCAGTCTCTGGTCATCCCCTGCACTGTGTCCGCAGTCTCTGGTCATCCCCTGCACTGTGTCCGCAGTCTCTGGTCATCCCCTGCACTGTGTCCGCAGTCTCTGGTCATCCCCTGTACTATGTCCGCAGTCTCTGGTCATCTCCTGTACTATGTCCGCACTCTCCGGTCATCTCCTGCACTGTGTCCGCAGTCTCTGGTCATCTCCTGTACTATGTCCGCAGTCTCTGGTCATCTCCTGTACTGTGTCCGCAGTCTCTGGTCATCTCCTGTACTGTGTCCGCAGTCTCTGGTCATCTCCTGTACTATGTCCGCAGTCTCTGGTCATCTCCTGTACTGTGTCCGCAGTCTCTGGTCATCTCCTGTACTGTGTCCGCAGTCTCTGGTCATCCCCTGTACTGTGTCTGCAGTCCATTGGTTCAGAATATTTTTTTTTTCTTGTTTTTCACCTCTAAAACCTAGGTGCGTCTTATGGAGCGAAAAATACGGTATATCTCCTCTATAAGAAAACAAATCTTTTCTGCTTGGAATTCTTTGTCTCCAGGCCACAGTTCTGCTTTAAGTGATTTCCACTCAGCCAAGAACAGCAGTCTCTCCATGGTAAATTACAAAGGTGTGGGCCCCTGGGGGTGGCCCCTGGGTTTGCTGTGCCACAGTGCTGATTTGTTTACCTCCACCCTGGAAACCTTCTTCATTATCTCACGGCTGATTACATTTCACAGGAACAGCCACTTCCGCACTTTTACCTAAACGTAGCAAAGTAATGCACTATGCTGGAAGTTGAATACTTTGAACTTCGTTTCATAAAAAATGCATCAGACAGCACAAAGTTCCTGCATGTGAGAGCAGGGCCGGATCTAGCCTGTCTGATCTGGGGGTGCGGTACAAAACGTCAGGGGGGGCAGAATGTCAGTAGTGTGACAGGGATGCATGGAACCGGTATTCCCTGTTCACTCGGCAAACT